TTTGTGCTGTGCCTCGACATCTTCGAGGTACTGCTTGGCATCCAACAGCTTTTTGGCCAGCTTGGTGAGTTTCTTGGACTCACGCATGGCTTCTGTGTGGGCGGCGTCCATGCGCTGCTTCGCCGCCTGGGTGGGGTGGACGGCCTGCTGCTGCTGCTGCTGCTGCTGCTGCCTCTTGTCTTGCTCCGCCCCGCCTTCGTGACCTCTTCCTGAAATGCCTTCGCTGCCGCTGACTGCAGAAGGGCCGGGGGCAGCAACGCGAGGACCGCCGCTGCCGACTCCTGCTCTTCGGGCGCCTTCGCATGCCGTGGGGGCTTGGCACCCCCTCCCTCGCCCGCAGCAGGGGGCGACTCCTCTCGCAACCTCCTGGGCCGAAAGATGTCGAGCGGCGCGCTGCAGATCTGGCGCTGGTAATTGTTCGTGATGCTGCGCCGATCCTAGTTCCACCGGCCACAGACGCAGTACGCGAAGGCCTGAGCATTCTTCTTGGTCTGCTGCCACGGCGCCACGAGGGAGCGAGGGGGGTGCCTCGTTCACGGGCGGACCAGTGCTTGGCTGTGGTCAGGGCGGAGTGACCGAAGGATGAAAGATGCCGCGGACTGGCGGTATCCACCTGTTCCGAAGGGGAACTTACGCCTTGATCCAAAATGGCTACGGAGGGGGGAGGTGGTGGAGGAGAACATGAGGAACGAAGAGAGCGCAGAGAGGCAGAATGAGGTGGAGAGGAGTGTGCCGTCGGAGGGGCAGAGAGAGGACGATGTTGATAATGATGGTGATGACGATGCTGATGATTATGATGATGAGGCTGATGATGTTGATGATGATGATGATGATGATGCTGATGTTGTTGTTGATGATGATGATGACGCTGATGATGCTGCTGCTGCTGATGCTGATGCGGATGATGTTGCTGATGATGCTGCTGATGATGGTGAGACGGATGAGGATGAGGATGAAGATGAGGATGATGATGCGGATGGTGATACTGATGATACTGATGATAAGGATGATGACGATGATGAAACTGATGCTGCTGGTAATACTTATGATGATGCTGCTGATGGTGATGGTACTGATGATAACGACGACGATGCTGCTGCTGCTGATGCTGATGATGATGATGATGATTCTGACGATGATTCTGAGGATGCTTATAATGATACTGCTGACGACGATGTTGCTAATGATGATGCTGATGATGATGGTGGTGGTGATGATGATTCTGATGATGATGATGATGATGATGATGATGACGACGAGGATTCTGATGTTGATGATGGTGATTCTGCTGAAGATGATGAGGATGATGACGATGCGGGTGATGCTGCTGCTGATGATGATGATGATGATGATGATGATGATGCTGATGATGATGATGATGATGATGATGATGATGATGATGATGCTGATGATGCTGATGCTTATGCTGAAACTGATGCTGCTGATGATGCTGTTGATGATGAGGCTGATGATGAGGATGATGCTGATGATGCTGCTGCTGCTGATGATGATGGGGGTGGTGATGATGCTGCTGCTGATACTGATGCTGTTGCTGCTGCTGATGATGAGCAGGAGGAGAAGAAGCAGGAGGAGGAGCAGGAAGATAAGGAGGAGGAGGAGGAGGAGGAGGAGGAGGAGGAGGAGGAGGAGGCGCAGGAGGAGGAGGAGGAGGAGGAGGAGGAGGAGGAGGAGGAGGACAAATATGAATAGAGGATCTTGGGGGAGGGCGTGGACGAGGATTTATGGGGCGGGCGAGAATGTTGAGGGACCTAGGGATAGGCCTGTTCCAGTGCTCGGGAGCCCGGGAATGGGTGTCTTCCTCTCCCAGGCCCCAGATTGGCGAGGTGAGTAAACTCCGCCGGTTGGACTGGTCGCTTCTGAGAGCCACCAAACACAGTGCAGGCAGACAAATGTTGAGAGTTCCGCGCGGACTTTCCTGCATCGGCGCTGGGCGCCCGTCCACGGCGCGCCAGGGGCGGCGCGAGGGCGGCTGCCGAGGGGGACCTCGGCGCCGACCCGCGACGTCCGCGCGGACCCCCGGAAGCTCATGTTCTGTAGCCGGAAGCTGGGCTGGGTACGCACGGCGGGGCCTGAGAGACGGGGGTCAGTGCAAACGGGGATCAGCCAGAGCGCCAGATCCTGCAGGATCCTGCGAAGACCCCCTCTGGCTGACCCGGATTAGCGAGCCGCTCGTGGCCGCGAGGCGGCCGCACATATAGTGGCTGACCCGGGTTTGCGAAGACCTGCGTTGCAGTTTTTTTTTCCTGCATTGCAGTTTCTGGTTCCTTGCTGACCCGGGTCTGGATTGACCCGGGCGGCGCGAGGGCGGCCGCCGAGGGGGATCTCGGCGCCGACCCGCGACATCCGCGCGGACCCCTCCCCCCCCCTCCCCTCCCTCCCTCCCCTCCCCTCCCCTCCCCTCCTCCCTCCCCACCCCTCCCCCCTCCCCCCTCCCCTCCCCTCCCCCCCCTCCCCTCCCCTCCCCTCCCCTCCCTCCCTCCGCCCTCCCTCCCATGTTCTGTATCCGGAAGCTGGGCTGGGCACACACGGCGTGATGCGGCCAGCCTGGGCGAGGCATTCCAGCAGCGGCGGCGAGGGCCTCTCGGGGCCGTCGGACAACGGCTCGGGACGAAAAACCGGTCCCGGGTGTGGGTTTCTCCGAAGGGCTTAGGCGAGCCGTCCTCCTCCTCCTCCTCCTCCTCCTCCTCCTCCTCCTCCGTGGCCACATTTGTCTTCCCAGCCTTCGGCCCTCGTGTGGCCCGGCACGGGGATCCTATGCGTGTGCATCCAGCAAGTGCCGACTCCACGAAAGAGGGACCCTTCGGCGGAGCGACCCTTGATGCGGGCCCACTGGGGCCCCCCGATCGCCGAACGTGACGCGGCAGCAGCGTCTTGCGCGCTTGTGCTTTGCCCCCCCCCCCCCCCCCCGGCCCCCAGAAAGCTGCGCCCCAAAGGTCACTGTTTCCCAGGGTCATTCTTGCGTGTAGTCCAAAGTGGCCTCCACATGTTCCACATGCGAATCCAGCCACTTGTGTTAGGTCGGGCGTGTCCCCCTACAGCGGGTTTTGGAGGAAAAGTTCAAAACAGTCCAGAAATATTCAAAAATGGTCGAACAATGCTCAAAAAAATCGTCCCCTGATTATTTTTGGACTATTTTGAATATTCCTCTTGGACACGCCCGACCTAACACTTGTGCTTCCGGCGTGTTGGCAGTTGTTCCCTTCCGCTCCGCGCTCCCCGGGGTTGGCCAGGTGAGCAAGCGGCACCTGTTTTGAAGGGGGTCTTGACATCGCTCGGACGCGTGCATTTCGCCTCGACAAGGATTAAGTCGGGCCTGCCCCATCTACAGGAGGAAAATTCAAAAATAGTCCCAAAATAGTCTGGGGCCGAGGTGTTTATCATTTTTTGTGGGCCATTTTTGAGCATGGTTTGGGTATCCTTTTTTCATCGTCCAAGCTCTTCCTGTAGGGGGACATGCCCGACCTAAGGCAAGGACCGTCGGGCCGCATTTTTGTTCACCCTGCGAAGCAGTACGCGCACGAAGCCGACGACTGCAGAGGAAGTGGACGTCCGCGCCATGGCGCGGGCGGGCTTCTGAGAGGCATCGGCGACTCGAGACCCGGGCCGTGCCGCGAGGGCGCCTCGACCGCTGGAGGCCTCCCAGGCAGGGTCCACTTCGATCCGCGCGGTCCGATTCGACATCGACGGCGGCCAGCCCGATGCGATTCTATTCCGACGGTTCGACGATCCGATTCGCCATGGGGGCCCCGAGGGAAATCAGGCCCTGGATGTCTTCGGCCACTCTCGGGCTCTCCCGGCCCAGCCCTCCCTGGATCCCGGGACTGCTTGCGCACGGCTCGGGAGGTGGGCTTGGGAGCAGGCTCCGGGGTCCAGGACCCGTGTCCCTCGGGAGAATACCGCATGCGGGCGCACGCGGTTCGACCACCGTCGGTCGACCCCCCATCTCGCTCCTGCGGCGCAGCCGTGCTGTCGTGATGTGCAGGTGCTTGAGGGTGGAGTTGTGAGTCTTCGGTGCTCTGCGTGGAACAGAAAAGAACTTCTCGGGACCCGTTTTTTTCTTGTCACGGCGAGATGCTCCGACGGTCCGACGCGGCCCGATCCTCGTACACGACGTTGCCGTGCAGCCTGGCGCAGCCGGGCCGAGCAGCCGATCCGATTTTCGGTCTCGGCCCCGTGCCGATGCGGTGCGTTCCGACGCACGCCTCATGCGATGATGGGCTTATTTTCCACCACCACCGAAAGTTGGAGGGGGGAAGGAGGAGGAGGACGAGGAGGAGGAGGACGAAGAGGAGGAGGAAGGAGGAGGATGGTGGTGGTGGTGGTTGTTGTGGTGGTGGAAGACAGGCCCATCATGCGATCCGATTCCCCGATTCGATGTCGTCGGATCTTGCCCAAGTCTCGATGTTGTTCGGAGTCGGAGTTCGGAGGTCCCTGGATCGTCTGGTGATGTTTTCCTCTGATGTTCTTGTGCTCTTGAGGTTTCCCAGGTAGCCCAGTGTCATCATGGGGTGCTAGGGGAGCGCAGTGCGGCTGAGAATCGCATGTTCGAGTGTAGAAATATCACGGCTATTGTGGAAATGGTCGCCAGGTGCATTCTGCCAGGCATGCAATACAGAGCAATATCCAGAGCAGTTGATACCAGTAGTGTGCTTCCCACTTGGGCGGCACCATGGCGAGGTGCGCTTGTGTCCATCCAAGGTCCGTGCCCCCCCCGTGCCCCGTGCCTCCCCCTCCCTCGCATCCCGGGCTCCAGCCTGCGATAGTTCGAGCTCTGCGTCTGATGGCCAGCAGTGCTACCTTTGATGAGTCACCGCGACGGAAGAGAGCAGATGCAGGGCGGAAGCCAGCGGAAGCAATCGGCCTCCCAAGAGATGACATTTTTTTGTTTGGTTCAGGGTTCTTCCAACCCGCCACAAGATACGCTGGACAGAGCGAAGCCTCGGTCATGTGCGTAAAGGCCGGCAGTGATACACGCGGGCGGCAGCGATTGCGCGAGGGGGAGTCAGGGCGGAGGCCTGCGAGGTCCGCAGCTTCTGTGGCTATAAAGACACTTTGTCTCGACCACGTGGCAGCCCTCGTGGCCATGGCGCCGCTTGCCTCCTCCGTGCCTGGCGGTTGGCCGCCTGCCGCCACCGCCGCCTCGGCGGCCCCTGCCTTCCAGGTCGGCCTCGTGTCGCCCGCCGGCGGCCCGCGGGCGCTGGCGCCCCGCGCGCCCGCCGCCTCGAGCTCCACCTCGGCCGCGGGCGCGGGCTCCGCCGCCGGCGCAGCCTCGCTGCTGGCCGGCGTCCTCTGTGCGCGTCGCGCCACGGCGGCTGCCCGTCACAGGCGCAGGGCGCGGCAGCCGCTGCGCATGGCGACGGCCGCGCCGACGTTGGCGGACGCGCCGCCGCCGCTGCTGGAGCTCTCGGAGGACGACCCGTCCGCGTTCACGGTCGGCATCCTGGGGGACTTGCACCTTGACCCTCGCGACCTGGAGCATTCGTACGAGGGCCGCGAGCACATGAAGGCCGCCTTGAAGGGGACCCCTCGCCCCTTCGTGGTCTCGCTCGGCGACCTCGGCGAGTCGAAGGATTGCAACCAGACGAAGCAGCTCTTCTCGGGCACCACGGATTGCTTCAACCTCGCGAGAGAGTACCTTGACGGCTTCGGCGCCAAGTGGGACGTCGTGGGAGGCAACCATGATCTCGAGGGCATCGACGAGTTCGGAACCGACGAGGAGAATTTGGAGGCATACTTGAGCATCTTGGGCAAGGAGACGCCACAGTTCTGCCACGAGGTGGCGGACAAGGTCCTTCTGGTGGGACTTGGGTCCACCGCATTCCGCACAGCGCAGTACACATCCCACGAGGTCTCCATTGACAAGAAGCAGTTAGAGTGGTTCGAGGACATCATCTCGAAGCATCCTGACTCCGAGGGCTGGCAGGTCTTCTGCTTCTCGCACGCGCCAATCATCGGCTCTGGCCTGCGCGTGTTGCAGGAGTGCCATGTCGTCAACGGGTGTTGCTGGCTGAACCATTGCAGCGCTGTGGACTCCAAGAGGTTCATCGAGGTCGTGCGCAAGAACGCTTGCGTCAAGGCTTGGTTCTCCGGGCACTTCCATTTGTCCCATGACTACCAGGACTCCATCACTTTCCCCGACGGGAACGGTCGCGGCTCTTGCGTCTTCGCGCAGACCGCCGTCATGACCGCCCGCTCCACGCGCGATGGCAGGCGGCAGTCCAGGTTTCTCCGCGGCAACGCCGAGGGCTTTGAGATCTGCACGATCGACCACTCGAAGGGCGGCAAGATTCGCTTGGATGCGACGATCACCTATGACGAGTGCATCATCGACGAGAACAACATCATGGACGGCTCCAACTCGTGCTCCACCCTCGCGTACGCCCACCAGCACGAGGACTACGACCATGATAAGTGGTTCAGTGCGTACGTGCCCCAGGAAAACGACGGCCGCTACGTCGAGCTCCCGGACGGCACCATCAACCCGGGCGTGGACTTCTCGAACCCGGAGGAAGTCTGTTGGTGGCACATGAAGGACGGCGCCGTGTTGGGCGTGCACAACGGCATGATCATCGAGTACGACCCTTCGACGCTCGCGCCCTTGGGCATGGTGGTCAGCCGCGACGAGCTCAAGGGCCGCCTCGTCGCCGTCATCGACGACGATTGGGGCGGCTCAGCCCTCCTCCTCTACCGGGACGACTCCGAAGATGTCACCGTGGTGCAGCCCAACGAGGACGGGTCTTATTGGCGCAAGGTGGTGCGCAACAAGATGCACCGCATGCAGGAGATGCGCCGCGCGGCCGCCGCCAAAAAGTGGATGAAGCAGCAGAGGGGCGAGGAGCGCGGGCGTCACGTCAAGGTCTTGTCTTCGTACGGCCCGTACACGACAACGGCCGGGCAGGTCATGGGCTTGAGCACGCGGGCCATCTGCCCGAAGGCGAAGGAGGCGGCGTGAGGAGAGGGGCGCGCTCGACTGGAGAGAGCGAGGGCGCGCGAGGGGGCGAGAGGCGCCACCGCCGAGGCGCAGACCGTGCTGAAAGGCAGCTGCTGCGGCGGGTGCCAGGGACCCGGCGCCGTCAGGCGCGCCGCGAGGCGCGCGCCTGAGCCCCCCAAGGGCGCCCCAGCACGAGGCCAGCAGGCGTGCGCCCGTGAGGCGGCGGTCCTGCGGCCGGGGCGGCGGGTGGACCCCCCGAGGCATGTGCGGCCTGCCTCCCCTCGACGTCCACGCCGCCCCGCCGTCGTGAATTGTTTGCTCGCGCGCCCCGCGCCCTCTCGTCTTCCCGCGTTTTGGCAGGAGACCGCCCCTAAATGGGGCGATTTTTCGAGCACAGCCTCCCTGTGCGCTTTTTCAAGGGCATACTAACTATTAATCTCGGCCACATTGGCAGGGCAATTATCTGCGCCATGTGCGGTGCACCTCGTGCCGATCACGCTGTGGTTGCGCGCTGGCCTCACCGAGGTCGCTGCTTGGAGGTGTCCGCTCCATTCCCCCTCTAAAATTGAGCTTTTTTTTTTTTTTTTTTTTTTTTGTTTTTTTAAATTGGCGGAGGCCTTGCGAGACAAGGTTCTGCGCGCTCGTATTCATGGTCTTCCCTTCTCCCCTCGCTTCGCCTTGCTCCCGGCGCGGCACCGATCGTTTCAATCATACCGTATCGGTTTAACCGCCCAAAATTTCCGCCCCTTCCCCGTCCGCTCGCAGCTCCTCTTGCAGCGGCTGTCTCTCGTAGGGGGCAGACTTTGCCCGCCCAGGCGGGCACCACCTGCAGGCAGCGCAGGGGTTGTAGCAGCACCGTTGGAGCTTCGCAGTGGTTCTCCATCTCCTCCCTCCACACACATCGTGTATATATACATATATATATATATGTATTTATATATATATACGCATACACACACACATATATATATATATACATACACACAAGACTGCATTGGCGCTTCGCGCCTTGCGCCTTGTTCCGGACGCTTCCCTGGCAAAGCAATAAATCATCGCTTTCTTCAGCAGGGAGGACCTCGAGGCCTGGACGGGCGACCCGCCCATTTTTCCGATATCCCGGGTGCCTGCTGACACCGCTTTCGGACGATGCGCTGGCACGCTTGTGCGCAGGGGTGGGGAAATCATGATGATTTTTCGCGCGCGAAGGTCCTTTGAGGAAGTAAGGAGCGTTCCCATGACACGCCGAAGAAGTCACAGTAGCTCCGAACACATAGATTTTTGATCGCTTCCCGAATGCCTGGAGGGCTCCAGGCACTCAGGAAATCTTCGATCGTCGAATTTCGAATCTAGATCCATTGCCTGTCTCTCTCGATCGGGTAGCTATTGAAACCTCGAGCCTCAAACGTGGAACCAAAATCGTCGGGTCAGCTTGATGTATTTCGTAGGAGAACGCCGTCTGGTCGTTTTTGGTGCTCTTTTGTGCCGTCCTGGGGCACTCTTGGGCCGTCCTGGGGGCTTCTTGGGCCGCCTTGGGGAGCTGGGGCCCTCCAGAGGTCTTCTGAAGCTATCTAGGGCCCTCTTGCGGGCCTCCAGTGGAGTTCTTGGAGGTATCCCATGGCTTTCGTGGGTCTCTCTTGGGAGCCTTCTGGGGGCATCTTGGGCTTCTTGTGGGCAGTCTCGCGGCTCTCTGGGGCAGTCTTGGGGCCCCCTTGGGCCGCCTTCAACACCTCTAGGGGGCCTCCCGGGCCGTCTTGGGGCGAGATTGGGGGCCCATTGGGCCGTCTTGGACGCTGCGAAGACCCAAAAAGCGGATATGCACAACAAATGTATGTTCTGAGGGAATGTGACGATTTTAGCTTCTTCGGGGCTCTCTTAACGGCCTCTTGGGGTGTCTTGGGGGCCTCTTGGGCCGTCTTCAGACCATCGAGGTTCCTTTTGGAGCGCTTTTGCGCTGTCTTGGGTCTCTCTTGCGCCTCTCCGACGACCCCTCTAATCGCCTTCAGTCGGCTCGCAAGGCCCAGCGAGGCGCCCTGGGAGGCCCGGAAGGGCCACCGAACCTTTTCCAAGGGCGTCCAGGGGGCCGCCGAAACGTTCGAAAGGGCGTCCAGAGCGTCCCTGGGGGAAGGATCCGGTTTAGGGGGGGGGGTCCAGGGGTGGGGGGGGGTGGGGGGGGGTCCGGGTAATAAAACTACAAGAATAGGAATACATACGTAACACCCCGCAGATGCGGATAAGAGTGAGGGGGCGGTGGGGACGTCGGCAGTTTGCGAGACTTTGGAGACGCCCGTCGCAGGCGCCAGAGTTTCACAAGTTATACAACGAGCCCGCCGCAGGCGCCGATTTTTTCGCAAATGGGTCGCGGGTGGGTCGTCGTTGGGTCGCGGGTGGGTCGCGGGTGTAGAGGGCAGAAAGTCCACCCCATAAGAAACACCCTGACAAGCGAAGCCGTTTAGTAAACGCATACAACGAATGAGTCGAACAGGGCAGGGCTGTTTAGTCAACGCCCAGGGCGGTTTAGTAAACGTCAATTGTCGGGTCCGGGTGGTTTTTCCTCCCTTGAGGGTGGGTCGCGGGGTGGGTCGCTGGTGGGTCGCGGGTTGGGTCGCGGGCGGGTCGCGGATGGGTCGCGGGGTGGGTCGCGGGTGGGTCGCGGATGTCGATAGTGAGATCCAGAGGTGTCCCGCGGTGTCCCGTGGTGTCCCGTGGTGACCCGAGGTGCCCCGTGGTGTCCTGTTAAGTGAGATCGATAGTGAGATCGACAAGTGTCCCGTGGTGTCCCGTGGTGTCCCGTTGAGTGAGATCGATAGTGAGATCGATTGCGTCAGATGTTGGTCCCCCCCCTCCCCAACAACCTCCTTATCGCCCGAAGGTAGGTCGTATAGGTGTATATATATACACATACAAGACTGCGTTGGCGCTTCGCGCCACGCACCTTGGTCCTGGAAGTTTGGCATGCAGGCGGAGGTCGCGGCGGGAGGGCAGGCAGGCAAAGCATGCAACGTGGCGATACATCCTCGTTGTCTTCGTCCAAGTCGTCGTCGTAAGAATGCCATTCGCTATCCTGCCCTGGTGTGTCCTCTTCGCCCTTCTTCGTTCTGAGGTCCACGGAGGTAGTGGTGACCGCCCCTAGCGGTGATCCCCCTTGGCATTGCCCGATCCTCCTTCTCCCTCCTCCTCCTCCTCCTCCCTCCTGCTCCTCCTCCCTGCTCCTCCTCCCTCCTCCTCCTCCTCCTCCTTCTCCTCCTCCTCCTCCTCCTCCTTCTTATGCTCCTCATCCTCCTCATCGTCCTCGAGGCCTCACCTTCTCCACGACGCAAGCCCCACCTCCTCCTCCTCCTCATTCCTCATCATCATCAGCAGCAGAAGCAGCATCCTCCTCCTCCTCCTCATCATCATCATCACCACCATCATCATCATCAGCGTCATCATCATCATCATCATCATCAATTCATATTTCATCATCATCATCATCATCAGCAGCAGCATCATCAGCATCATCATCATCATCATCATCAGCATCAGCATCATCATCATCATCACCACCATCATCATCATCACCACCATCATCATCATCATCATCATCATCATCATCATCATCATCATCATCATCATCATCATCCCCCTCCTCCTCCTCCTCCTCCTCTTACCCACGTGCCTGGAGGGAACGTCGCGAAACTGGGATTCGGACATATTTGGTGGAAATGCTGGACGAGGGCGCCAATGCGGGGTCGTACGTCAAAGGCATCTTCAATGTGTTCGGGTCTGCGGGGAGGCGTCTCGGGGTCGTCGCGGAAACAATGTTGCTGGTTTATCGCGGAAGCAATGTAGCGTTTGGAGATAACTTGGAGCCCCCTTTGGTTTATTTTCGATCTTATTGGGGACCTCGTGAACCCTGGTTGGGGCGTTTGGGCGCCTGTCGGCAGTTTCGTGTGTCCTTTAAGGCCTGAGGGCTCGCGCCTGGTGGCTTTCTGAAGGTCCGTCTTGGGGCCTTCTTCGGGGATCGTGGGGGCATCTTCGCCCGTCCTGGAGCCTTCTCCGGCCGTCATGGGCTGTCCTGGGGCGATGTTGGGGGCCTTTTGGGCCTTCCTCGGGCGTCGGTAGCAAGAAAAAACGATTATGCCAAAATAGCGCAAAAACCAATAGGAAACGCACAGGTTTTGGATTTGGAGGCCCACTTGGGGGTTCCCCTTGGAGCTCCTTGGGGCGTTTGGAAGGCCTCTTGGGCCATCAGGAGGCCATGTTGGATCCTCTTGGGGCTCAAGCCGGCTTGTTTACACGACTTGGAAGGGACTCCCAGAAGCCCGGGGTTCTCATGGGACCCTCGGCAGGGGAGTCCAGGAGCCTCAGAAGCCATGGATTCCGGAAGGTCCTTCCCGGGGGTGGGGGGGTCCCACCCCCCTGGATTGTAAAGATATAGAACAGAGGATTGGAGATATACACATATTTCCCGCGGGGCACCAGGGAAGCGGCCCCCAGGGCGTAGCCACCGTTTCCTCCATGGCGGTGCCCGGCGGGCGGGGGGTAGGGTGGGGGCGGGGGCCTCGGACAGCCCCGGGGTGGCCCCAGATGGCCCAACTTTGTGTTCAAGATGGTCCAAAAGAGGCCCCCGAGACGGGCCAAGGGCGCTCCAAGACGCCGAAGAGGGCTTCAAGGCGGTCCAAGAGGTCCCCAAGACGCCCCAAGCCCCAGGAGTCCTCCCACAGGGTTCCCAGGAAGACCTCGAGAGGCACAGCACAGCACACTCCTTTTGGAACAACTTAGACATTTTCAGTGCGTTCGCAATGTCCGCCTTGGCAGTGTCCGCGTCGGATGCCCCCCCCCAGACGGCCTCAGAGGCCCCCCAGGGGAGCTCCACGGCGGCCCAAGGGATCCCCAGGACGGCCCCAGAGGCGCCCGACACGGCCACAGGAGGGCCCCAGGAGAGCCCCACGAGGGGCCCAAGGAGGGCCCAAAGAGGGGAGACTCGAACGGACTTTTCGAGCTCTCCGCCCCAAGAAGAACCCCGAAGCCGCAAGCCGTCCTCCATGAGCCCCCGAGAGGCCCCAAGAGGCCCCCCGAAAAGCTCACCCACACTGCCTGAAGAGACCCCGATATCGCTCCAATGCTTGCTGCTTGTTTTGTTTTTGTTTTTGTTTTCTCTCTCTCTCTTTCTTTCTCTCTCTCTCTCTCGCTCTCTCTCTCTCTCTATATATATATATGTTATGTATATACATAGGTGTGTGTATATATATATATGTATATATGTATATGATTGCATGTGCGCTTCGCGCCATGCACCTTGGTCCTCGAAGTTGGGCATGCAGGCGTCAGGGCAGGAACGTAACATGGAACAGTCAGCGATAACTCCTTTTGTCTTGTCCGACATCGCCGTTATCTTAATTTTATTCGTTATCCTTCCCTCATGTTTCTTCTTCCTCTTCCTCAGTATCGCCATACCCTGCGATTTTCCCTAGTCCTATTGATCTTTTTCTGCGGAGGCGCTTCCTTGCTCCTTGGAGGGCGTCTTGGTGGCCTCACGAAAACAAGAACGACTTTGGGGGGCCTTTTGCGGCCTCCTGGGTGCCTTCTGGAGGCCTCTTGGGGCTTCCTCTCGCCATCCTGCTTCCAACCGCGGTTTCCCTGAACGACTGGGGTCGCGATTTGGAATGCTTCGGGGGGCGTCTTTGCGCCATCTTTGTCCGTAGTGATGCTCTTTTCGGGCCATCTTGGGGCCCTGTTTTGCCGTCTTGGGTCTCTCCTGGGCTGCCTAGAAGTCCTTGTGGGTAGTTGTGGGGTGATTTTCCGGGTCTCCTGGGCGGTCTCGGATGCCTGGAAGACCCAAGAACAGAGCATTCCCAAATCATGCAAAAACCACGGGAAATCTTCTGTTTTTTGCGTATCGACATCCTCTTGAGTGTCTTCTTTGGGTC